ATCTTGGATCATAGTTGTTCCTTTAACCAGACATTTCAATCAGTTTATATGACCAATTGTTGGATCAAACCAGACAGACCTGTGGTCCCACATCCTTTTCCAGAGCTCTGCCCTGCCCTGTGAGTCACTCCATATCTGCTGACAAGAAGCCAATCTGCTGTTTGTAGGCCAATGGGGAGATTTCTGATTGCAAATACCAGCTTCAGGAAACAGATTCTCTCTTCAGAGACTCACCAAGGGAAAGCTTCGCATTTCCCTTCAACTCTGATTATCTTGATCACTAGCCTTGTTGCTAACTGAAGCATTTTTGTTTGTTTGTTTTTTGTTTTAACCCTGCGTTTTAGATCAAAGGGTAGATCAACTCAGCCTCAGAACCAGTCAGTAGAAAATGAATAGAGGTAGCAGACAGGACTCCGTCTTATCCTGGTCCTATTCTCAAACCACACCGTTTAATTGGGGGATGGGGTAGGGGTAGGAGTGCTATGCAAACTCTCTGATCTTCATAAATGATCCTTATAAACAATCCAGAGTGTACTAGCTAAGCCCCAACAAAACTGGGGCTAAATTAATTCCCCACCCCACGCCACCCCAGCATCTCCTCTCCGCCCCTAAATCCTCAGAACTGCTTACAAGGAATGGGTTGGCTCTCTCATTCCCAGGACTGAGACAAAGGCCTAGAGAAGCCCCAGGAAAGCAGAACCTTTCTAGGAACCCCAATGGTGGTCTCCACAGTAGTGTTCATCATCCTGGGTCATGGTAGGGTAAAAGATTGCACGAAGGAAATACTACTTCATTTCCACACAACCCATTGGGATGGGAAAAAGATTTCTAAAGGAAGGAGTAAGGAAGCCAGGAGAATAGTCTCCCACTTCCACCCATCTTTGCGGCAGCTGAGAAAGCAAAAAGGCTGATTTAGTCCAGCCTGTAAATGTGCTGCCAGGCCAACCATGCAGTATCTCCTTATGGCCTGTTCCCTCTCCTCCTTTCCTAGCACCCACCTGTACCTAACAGAGGCCTTTACATTTGCTGTGTGGTATAGATAGGACATGGGGACAGGAATGAGTACTCCAATTTGCAGCCATACTTGGAGGGGACTTGGTCCCAGGCCATGAGTCCACTAGCACAGATCCTGGCACCGCTCCCTCCTATTTCTAATGGCCTAAACCAGGTTATTCATATAAAACACAGCTTAATAGAGGTTTTTACAAGTTGTTGGGTTAAACCAGGGTTGCCAATCTTTGGCAATACCCTTTTTTACAAGTTCTAGAAACACCATTAATTGAATTTTAGCAGCATTAGTACCAAAAATGAGCACAGGTTCCTTCCATTTTGAGGTGGGAAACATGAAAATTATAATGTAGGGCCTAAAATAGTTTGAACACTTTTTAATAAAACAAAAGCAAATCTCAATCCACCTACAAAACCCCAGTTCCTCAGCAAATCCTTGCCCTGCCCATGAGTTTAGTTTGGCACTGCCCAATAGGATCATTGCCATCCAGAAGCCCTCAATGCAGTACTCCAGCATCAAATTTTTCCTATTTTCAGGTCAAACTCTCAAAAATCTATTTCCTCTTTTTCCCCCCCTTTCCAGTTTGTTTAGGAATGAAATTCTCAATAACCTGTAATCCAATTAGTCAATTTTCTGTATCACTGAATGATGACAAGAAAATGGCTATTATCAGGAACTGGGGGGGGGGGAATGGTTTTGTTTTGTTTTTTTAAGTATTATATGGATGGAAAAGGGAATACAAAAGTGACTCACTACAAGACTGGCCATAGATCAGAGTGGGACCTGTCTCCACTTTAGCCCTGGTTAGCCTATATGCATTGATCATGCACACTAAGAAGTCTTAAAGTCCATACTATCAAGACAGGATTTTTCTTTTGTAGCAAGAAACCTCCTTAATCCTGCTGATTATAGTTGCAGAGTTGTCAATGGCTTGTGCTAGATCAGAGCTTGTAGCAGAGGGGTGCTGCTGTGAACAGGGAAAAATCCCAAAGGGTTCAGACATGGCAACAATTAAGGAAGAAAGAACTGGCCCATCAATTCTTGGTAGTGGGCAAAGACAACTGAAGCTTTCAAAAACCAAATGTGGAGAATCCAATCAGGTGGGGTGTTATGTAAGGGAAAGGCAACCTCCATTTTGTTTTTCTCAGGAATGGGAGCCCTTGTGGCTGGCTGAAAGTCAGGAAAAATATCCCTGACCCCAAACTGGAAATCAAGGAATTACAGAACAAGCTACAATAATTGAAAGCTAAATGCAGATTAGAATTTGGTATTATTTTATAAACTGAGATTGTGGGAGTTGTGTTATATGTGTGTTGAGTAGAACCTGATTAAAGTAGCAGCACATGAAAGCAACCTCTCCAGAAGTCTTCTTTCCTCCCTAGACCAAAGGCACAAAAGAAGTTTTATTAAAATGAAGTTTAATCTAACAAAACCATATTGGATATGCGCTGCTATGCCCTATGATCCACTTGGAGAAAAGAGCTGTACCAATAATCATCTCTACCTGGCAGTTCTTTTATGAGGGGTCTAATTAATACAGCATGAAGTCCCTGTAAAACTTATTGTGCAGAAGGATGTGTCGCACATCCTCCTTAGCTTGGGAATTACATAGGCAGAGGCATTCATGATAGAATCATTCGATAGTTGCCATCAGTGATTGCTGAAGGCAGAGCATCAAGTCTGGCCAAGGCAAATATTCCACAAGGTCTGTAATTTATTAGAGATTGGCAATAGTCCGCTGGCATGGAAGTGAAGGCAAGCCTCCAAGACTTATACTGCCTTGGTGCCGTACTAATGTCTGTTGTCATCCTGTGTCCAAAAGTCTTTTCTTCAATCCTTTTTTTGCTTGGTCATATTCCAGTCTTCGTAATGTCCCACAAGAAAAGCTATATAGAGACAGTTCTGTGATGCGCATCTTCCATGAGGATTGAAAGCTAGGTAGGATATAAACCAGTTCACTGGAAAGCCTTGATTTGATTATCAAAATAGGCAGGAACACATTAAAAGTTTGAAAAAGAGTTACCCTTTGTAAGGGAGTGAAGCTGGGATTGCTGTCTGTGCTTGGGAAAAGTAGCTACAGCCAGGCAGAAACGCTTCTCACCCCATTTCCCACATTTCCCTAACTCAGACTTTACTCACAAGCATCCAAGCCGGTGTTCCAGCTGCCTGTGATAATTGACCCACACCCTGGAATTTTCAAGGACATGCTGACATCCAGAGGCAGCCTCACCCCATCTAGGCTCTTAGCTTAGAAAAGCAAATGCTAAGACAGAGTGGGGAAGTACAGTGGTACCTCAGGTTACGAATTTAATCCATTCCGTCACTCTGGTCGCAACCCGATTTGTTCACAACCCGAAGCAAATTTTCCCA